CAGAATAAGCCAGCGAATATAGTAAGTCACCAGGACATGCAAGCTTTGGACCCGTTACGTTATTATGTAAACCTGTTAATTTCAGAAACCCTAAAGCTGTATACAAAGTCTGAACCTAAACCCCAAACCCTAGACCCTTAACATAAACTCCGATTGGAATCCTTCCCTAAAGCCCTAAACCCTAAAGGCCCTAAACCCTAAACCCTAAAGGCCCTAAGCCCTAAACCCTAAAGGACCTAAACCCTAAACCCTAAAGGCCCTAAACCCTAAACCCTAAAGGCCCTAAACCCTCAAAGACACCCTGAAATCCACAAACAGGGTTCTTGTTAAGGGATTTAATTTAAATTTAAGTTACCATAATGGGGGTCCATAGTAAATAATATGGTTTCCTTATTATGGTAACTTAAAATAAAGACCTAAACCCTAAACCCTAATCCCTAAACTCCTAAGCCTCGAAACCCTAAACTTTAACACCCTAAACCCCAACCTAAACCCCTAAACCCTAAACCCCAAACCCCAAAACCCCAAAGCCCCTAATCCCCTAACAAGAACCCAGCGAAGGTCAGGCCTGGAGCTGCAACCGCTCCACCGGGTTGCCTTTGAGCCACAGCTCATTCAGGCTCCTGGGCTTACGGGGTTTAGGGGTTTAGAGATTTAGGGTTTGTAAAGGAGTTTAGGGGTTTTGGGTTTAGGGTTATAAAGGAGCTTAGGGGTTTAGTAGGGGTTAGGGGGTTTAGGGGGTTTAGGGGTTTAGGGTTTAGGGGTTTGGGGGTTAGGGGTTTAGGTTGTTGGGGTTTAGGGTGTTAAAGTTTAGGGTTTTAAGGTTTAGGGGTTTAGGGTTTAGGGGTTTAGGGGTTTAGGTGTTTAGGGTTTAAGGTGTTGAGGTTTAGGGGTTTAGGGTTTAGGAGTTAGGGGTTTAGGTGTTTAGGGGTTTAGGGTTTAGGGTTCAGGGGTTTAGGGCTTGGGCCTTAGGGCTGGCTGTGGATGTCCGGTGGGGTTTCTATCAGGGCCCTAGTAATTGCCCTGTAGGTCTCATAGGGCTGTATGAGGGTCCAAAGGGGAGTGTTATGTATGGGGTTGTGTGAGGTTTGATAGAGTTCTGTTCTGAAACGTCTGTGGGGGGTCCAGCGCTCTAGCGAAGCTCAGGCCACATGCGGACTGGGTTGCTTGCACTTGTACCGCAACATCTTCTTCAAGCTCTGGACCATTCAAAGGCACTTCCAACAAGTGTCACGCGGTGAACCCCCAGAGGTTAGAAGTTGCCCTAAACCCTAAACAGCTACGATTCCTCTGTGGACTTCGCACCCTGGCATGATCTATACCAGTGCTTGCCAAGGCAGAAGCGTTTGCCGATTAAGGGTTCGAAGGTGTGGGGACTTCTCCCTAAACCCGCAACCGTTCCCTACGCCCAAAACCCTAAGCCCTAAACCCTAAGCCATAAACCCTAAGCCCCAAACCCTCAGCCCCACAACCCTACACCCCGGACTTCACGGCATTTAGATGTGTGAGAAGCTTACGGTTTCGGGGATGCTCATCAGCATTCAGATTGGAGGGTTTAAGGGTTTAGGGTTTAGGGGTTTAGAGGTTTAGGGTTTTAGGGGTTTAGGGTTTAGGGGTTTAGGGCTTTAGGGCTTAAGGGGTTTAGGGGTTTAGGGGTTTAACGGGTGTAGGGGTGTAGGGGTTTAGGGTTTTAGGGTTTAGGGGTGTAGGGCTTAGGGGTTCACCTGTAGCCGAAAAGACCTCCCTTCTTAGGGTTCCTGATTAAGGTTTCTATATAGAGCTCATTAAAGAGGTAGATCTTTTCGGCTACAGGTAGGGTTCAGGGTTTAGGGATTAAGGGTTAGTTGGTTGTTTTTACTTGGGGTGCAAGCTGCAGAACCAGGTATTGGGGTTGGGGCGTCGACCACTAAACCCTGGCCCGAAACCCTTAACCCTTAACCCCCAAAACCCCGAAACCCAAAACCCAAAACACCAAAACCCCAAACCCCAAAAACCCAAAAGCTCTAAACCCAAAACCCAAAACCCCAAAACCCAAAAACCCCAAAAGCCCCAAAACCCCAAAACCCAAAAACCCCAAAACCCCGACACCCAGAAAACCCCAGAAACCCAACACTTCGTGCCGGAGGACGGGCAAGCGATGATGGCCTCCGGGATCGAAGACCTGAAGAGTTCTTTTGAATGATTTTGGTCTTCTTTTTAGAGTTTAGGGTTTAGGGGGTTTAGGGTTATAGGGTTTGGGGATAGGGTCTGTTAGAGATTTTGAATGGATCGGACTTCCTTTTTTTGCAGGTTTAGGGTTGAGGGTTTAGGGCTTCGGCCTTCCTTTCTTTGCAGTTTATAGGGTTGAGGGTTTGGGGATTAGGGTTTCGGGTTGAAGGTTTGGGGTTTAGGGTTGAGGTTTTAGGGTTGAGGGTTTGGGGATTACAGTTTGGGGTTGAGGGGTTGGGGTTTAGGGTTATTAGGGTTTAGGCTTTATGGCAAGAGTTTAGAATTTATGAGGGCTCAGGGTTTAGGGTTCGTAGGGTTTGCCCAGTGTTTGGGCGAAGCATTGATGGAGCGATTAGGCTAGGCTGCGCCAACTTCGGGCCCCCGAAACCCTAACCCCTAAACCCCTAAACCCTAAAACCCCTGAACCCCTAAACCCTGAACCCCCTAAACCCTAAGCCCAAAACGTCAGACCTGGCCTCAGGCACCGAGTCTGCGTGAGACTTCGAGGTGCGAGAAGCGACGCAGGCTCGAGCGGTCGGGGAAGGGTTTAATGTAGGAACCTGATGAAAAACCCGGGTTCTTTATTAGGGTTCTTAATATGAAACCAAAAAAAAATTGGGGTTTTACAGTAGGGCCAGCGTTTCTCAATCAGGTTCCTACATTAGGGTCAGCTTGCGAAGCCTTCACCTCCTTGCGGCTTGTCAGCGGAAGTGTGTCCGAAGTTCGAACTCGACCAGGACGGCCCCGGACCAGAAAGCACCAAATTCCAAAGGGAAACTCGCAATTTTCAAAGCAGCACAAGAATTAATAAGGACGAAAAGAGCACAGGCAGATGCGCCTTTTCAGCATGTTCTGCGCCATTGCGCCGTTGCAGGCTCATGTCTGCATCTCTCGCCCCTCTCTCTGTCTCTCTCTCTCTCTCTCTGTCTCTGTGTGTGTGTTTCTGCGTGCAACTCTCTCGCTCTCTGTTGACTCAAAAACTTGGGGGTGAAAGGGTTGGTGTTTGTAGGTTTTAGGTTTTATGTGTTGTGGGTTTAGGGCTTGGGGTTTAGGGGTTTAGGGTTTTAGGGTTTAGGGTTTAGGGGCTTAGAGGTTTAGGGTTTTAGGGTTTAGGGCTTTCTGCCTCGTTTCTGTGTCCTTAGAATCAGGATCCAACTACATTGCATGTCTAACAGGGGTTGGGAGCTAGGGATTGAATCTTAGAGGTGCCAATGATCAAAATATTGCGTTTCTCGTTTGAAGAGGGGGGATACTACAACATGTTTTACAGGGACTACAGGATACTGAGTTGCTAAGACAACCCTACACCCTAAACCCTAAAACCCTAAACCCTAAACCCCTAAACCCTCAACCCCTAAACCCTCAACCCTAAACCCCGAATCATTCAGAGTCTGAGCTCTCAGGCAGGTGGTTGTCTGCCGCGTCCAGATACTGCAACTTTCCGAGCCTGGGCTCAGGTTTGTTTGACCTGTTTCTTGATTTGGGGTTCCGGGTTAGGGTTTAGGGCCTACTGTTGAGGCTTTAGGGCTTTAGGGTTTTAGAGATTTGAGGTTTACGGTTTGCTGTTGGGTTTGCGCAAGGGCCTCGAAGCTTTCAAAACTCCAGTGCCTCACACTTCCTACTGGCTTGTTATCATGTGGCATTTGGGCTTGCACCCCAACCGTAAACCCTAACCCCAAAACACACACACACACACCCTAAACCCCAAAGACTTGATTCTCAAACCTTAAACCATGAACTGGTTTTTAGGGTTTAGTAATGGATGAGGCCTGAAAATGATTGGAAGCCTCAACCTCGAGACCTTCCCTGCTGCCGGAGTAGCGACTTGCACCCGTGATTACCAGGGACACTTGGGTTAGGGTTTAGGGTTTAGAGTTTAGGGTTTGATATGCGTCCTTTTCGGTGCAGGATGGCGTTTTCAATTCAAGCCCTGTCATACCCACATAATCGACCTTGATAATGAGAATACGGGTTGCAGTGGGGTGTTCTGGGATAACTATAATCAGGAACCCTCAGGAATGTGTTAGTATGGGTACAAGTGCTTATTTAGGAGCCCTAAACCAGGCCTCGATGTTAGATCTTTCAGAGGTTGCCTTAAGACCGAACCAGGGACCCGACCGTCCGAGTTCCGTGGGCAAGGCCGTCAGCCGATTTCGGGCAAGGACCAAACGCACCTGGGAGCTGCGGTTTCGAGTTTGGATTCAAGAGGTCGGGATTCATAGGGATTTGAGGGCTTAGGACCTACACTACCCGAACCCTGAATGAATAACCTATTCATGATTTCCGAATGCAAACAAACTCTATCCGTCTAAACCCTAACCCCTATAAATCAAAAACAAGTGGGTAAGGGTCCCGGTAACCCTTGCTTGCAGCTGCCAGCTCGGAGTATTCAACCTGCACGATACTGAGACCAACCCTGGCGATGAGCAAAGCACGCACAATACGAGCTTGTGGTCGCCATTTCTACACGTCCGAAGTGAAAAAAACTTGGAATGCAGAGTGAGACGTGATGGGAGCCACACTTGCCTGATTTTTGTGCAGTGTGGGACTGAATTGCGGACTTACACAAAGCCAGCTTCATACCAAATCGGAGGTGAGCTTTGCAAGAGAGAAGCCGAGTCAGAAGATGATGGCATATGATGGTTTAGGCTTCAGGTTTAGGGTTTTAGGCTTCGGGTATGATCACTCCAATCTTTGGACATGAAGCTCAGCCTGTACATGCTTCCGCCGTGAGAGAACGCACCTAACCTTGAATCAGATCTTGGTTAAGCTCCTGCACTGTACTGTGCTGCTCAGCGCTTCCGGGACTGTGCAGCCTGCTCTCTCTCCTTCTCTTGCTGCTTGCGCCAGGCCACCGCCTGCTTCCAGGCCTTCTCCACCTCCTTCGCCGAGAAGTCTTTCGGGCGGAACCTCATGTTGCGGGTCTTGCCTCCAACAGCGCAGCACGCATGCCAGGCCTGCTCGCCACGGTTCCACTTGATCCCTGGCTGCGGCCCCAGCGGCTCGAAGTTGGGGAGCTCCGAGAGCGACTTCACCGGCACCACCTCCTCCTGCACCCCCAACTCCTTGGCCAGCTCCCGAGCCCTGGCCTCGGCCTCCTCCTTCACCTTGAAATAGCCTCCGTGCACTTTCTTGTGGGTGGAAGGGTCTGTGAATTGCACCCGATACTCTCCACTGCTTTTGTTGTACAAAATGCCCCTCACCGCGGAGCCGGAGGTCTTCTCCGTGATGGGCTTCGGCGGCTTCAGCTTCCCCTGGCGCAGGAGCTCCTCGCGGAAAGCCTTGGCCTCCTCGAGCGCCGCCTCTTCGGCCTCGGTCTCGCTGAGGCCCAGCTTCATGTGTTTGGAAATGGGGAAGATGCAAGACTTCCGGCTGTTGCCTTCCCACCATTGAGCGCGCCAGCATGCCACGTCTTTGCGCCAGACAATTCCCTGCATGCCGCTCTGGCGCTCCAGGCCTCCAAACCTCCTTGTGACGACCTGGGTTTCATCGGCTCTGGGCTCGGCTCGGCTGGGTGGCTCCGCAGGCTTCGGCTCGCCAGGTTCTGGGACGGAGCCCACGGACTCGAAGATCTCGAGACCCTGCATCGCGGAGCCCCCTCCAGTCGGCGAGAGCTTCATCATGCCGTCCTCCACGAGCAGCCAGCCGTTGCCCGCCCAAGCTCGCGTGGGAAGGTCCCGCATCCAAGGCCACATCTTCATGCACTCAGCTGCTCGGTGCTGATTGCCGGTTGAGCTCTTTTGGGCCTGTGGCCTGGATGCGGCAGTGGTCTCTGTCTGTCGCTCGCTTCTTGCGTCACTGTTGTCATGGAACAGGACATGGTGTGGATTCTCGTGGTAGAAGTCGCGCAGCTCTCTGAACTGCTCTTTGCCGAGAAGCTGCACGCATGCTGTTGTCTTGTCTCTCACACATCCTTGCCACGGAGCTGCTGCCAAGCCAAGAAAAGGGCTAGCCGGGCAGCAGGGCTTCGTGGGAAGCCACGTCTTGCCAGAGGATTGAAATGCTAGGCATTTCTCAGCCCACTCTGTCATTCGCGACTCGAAGGATGGAACGAAGACGTCCGGACTCTTCTGGCTCAATCGACGCCTTTTCGGCCCAGGCTGCTCAAAGTCCTCTTGCTTGACTTGTATCTGCTGCTCCTCATCCGCTTTCTCCTGCTTTACGCCAGTCCTTAACTGGAAGGCAACATCAACAGGGTTTAGGGTTTAGGGTTAAGAGCCCGAAACTCAAGGTTTAGGGTTTAGGGGCAAATTAGTATAGTCAGTAGAAAAAGCAGCACCGCGAGCGCGAGTTCTACAGCAGAGCAAAGCGCTGCAAATAACAACATAGTTTAAGACCCGCTTCGAAGAGGCACAAAGAACCGACTCTAATCACTGACTGCGCCGCATGCTTAAGGCCTCTAACTTGAGCCACAAGGTCGGAAGTCCCTGAACATTGAAGCGAACTGGCTGAAAGAGAGGTGTCTGGTTTCGGACTTCCACTGCAGGAGTGCAGGTCTTGCCCAAATGCGAGGTTGGACCAGCCCCTGGCAGCCCTTTCATCCCTCGAAGATACAGCTGCAAGGCCGAAGCCCGAAACCGTAAACCTCAAGATCTTACAGCACAGTTACACCCATAGCCTTCGAGACTCGCGGCATGTAGGGTTCCTGACCGCTGCCAAGCCTCGACTCCCTTTGCGACTTCGTGTCCTCCGTGAGGGGGGAGACAGGATAAAGATTGTCCATAAGAATGTTGCATCTGTCTGCAGAGCTGACTGATTGATATGCTTCTGCAGACTCCTGCAGACCTAGACACCGGTTTGACGCCATGAAAGCAACAAGATGCACGAAGCCCGCTGACTTGTAAACACCGAACAACACAAGGTGGATAGAAGTTCAACATCCTGTAACTGTCACCTGCAGGCTTCTTCCTCAGCACCTGGATGCGAACATCCAGGCCCCAAGCCAAGCGCAGCGCTGCCAAATCAGCATGAGGACCTAGAAAGGCTGCTGATATAATATCACAAGAGTTTTATCGCATCAAGAAGCAGGTATGAACAACTAGAGCTTCAGTGAGTAAGACCGGACAACACCGATCAATATTCATGTCTTCCTACTTCGGGTGTTCCAGGCATCAGATACATGTGGCATAGAGACGACAGTATCCGCAGAAGTACCAGCAATGACAATTCATAACGATTGACGACATCTGTCGCTAACGAAATGCAGCAGTGGCATCGGCAATCGTAGGAACCGCAAACAGCAAGCAATTCAAAATCCAACAAGAAGATCTGGGTACCCGTAGCCGAAACTCAAAATGCTGACCCCTCCTTCAACTTAAACATTGTAGACGTGTTCACAGCAGGAGTCCTCCTGCTTCACTTCACGCTTGATCTCAGCCTTGACCTTCCCGGTAAGATAGCACTTGGAAATGACAAATGCATATGTAGCCGCTCATCTTCTCTCTCCAATGTCGACAGGCGTACACTGTATGTCAAGACCCTCACACCCCAAAGCGCGCTCTGAGGTGCCCAGACAGCACAAGCAGATGCAGTCATGTTTACTCTGCTACTGCATTGCCCTGGGTGGGCGACAGTGCTCTCAAAGCCTGACGACCTCGATAGCCTCAACAAGGTTATCCCCAAAAAGGACGTACGACTCCTCGCGGCACAAACTACTGCGCCGTACCAGTTATGCACTGAACATGTACGCGCTCTGCATGCCGTACCCGTCCTGCAGATTCGGCTCTCTCACCACATACACATAAGCACATGCATGTATGAGTGCACATGTCGCCATCGCGTCTAGCATGCAGGGATCTAGGTCTACTTAGGGGTCCGGCATGGCCCCTGTATTTTGGTATTTACAACTCTGCACATTGGATTTACAGCATCTTTCCAGGTGGCCTTCGTGCGCATTCTTCGACGAGAGCTGACGACCTCCATGACAGGATGGGCTTTGGGGTTGGGGTTTAATTTAGGGTATAAAGATGTTTAAAGAGGAGTTGGCCCTAAGACCTTAGGACATCAAGCCTGACAAACCCTCTACTGACAATCACCCTTAACCGAATCCTCTAATGGACCTGACCGCCTGTGTAAAGATCCCTCTATAAGCCTTCCAAACTGAAAGCACTGTGTGGCTAGATCCCCAAGTCTATGGACGAAAGGGGCAACAACCTAGAACGTTTTGAGCATGTACAATGGTATTGTTCCGGGGTAGACGCGTTCCAAGGCCATGCAACCATACCCCCGAAGCCTCAAATGAAAAAGGATGCAGAGGTGGACTGTTCAGGAGCATCGAGGCCTGCACATGAGCTAGCCCCAACCGGGTTTAGGGCTTCAGGTCTAAAATACAGTATTACTTTTTGTTCCTTGCTTTTCGTGTGTAACTAATAGCTAATGTAACAATATGCTTCTTGTTGCGAGCTGTAAACATGTCTGAAACACTTGTCGGATGGGGGTGTGCTGGGTATGTTATTGTGTTCATCCCGACAATACAAATACCTCCAACCATCATGGCTAAAGCAATCATGTCAGTTTGAATATGTTCTCATCCACCAGGGATACTTCATTGCTACAAGCTCATTCCCCGTGTCTTCAGTCGCCTCGTTGCTCTCTTCCGTCACTTCCATATCTGCATCTTCCGACACCTCCTGCTTCACCTCCTGCCTGATATCCTTCAAGCGCCGAGCTGACACATGCTGGCTGAAGCTGGTTTTGCAATGTGCGCACCGGCCAAGTGTCTACTACTAGCCAAATCCGGATGCGACTCCGAATGCAGGGTCTCGAAGCTTCTGGACGTCGCGAAAATCCGCTCGGAACTGAAACCCTTGGGCCGCACCCTTTCACTAAACAGCAGTTACAGCTTGACATCTGAGTATCATGACCTGAACCCTAGAAGTCCTGAGCCCTAAAACCCTGAAGTCTAAGCGCTGGGCCTCACGCCTTAAGTAATACACGCCTCAACCTGTAGCCTAATTTCACAAGCTTCACCTACTGAGAAAGTAAGCCCTGTCAGGATTTCAGGTTTGGGGCTGAGGAAACCTGGATCTTGAATTCAACCACCGGACAGATAAAACAGTAAGAGCCCGAAATAAAGGTGATTGCGCATCATTGTTCAATGGTATGCTGAAATGAAACACTAGCATCATGGCTTGACAGCAACCCTCTGTCGAAAAATGGTACTCCCTTCACCCCAAAGCACACTGTCTCACAACTGAAGGAGAAGCACACAGAATCCCATCAGCCTTCCGTGTCGTCTCCTCCTTGACTTCCACCTTGATATCCTTGGACGACTCCTGCTCGTTCTCCGTCTTTACTTTCTTCTGCGCATCCTTCGACGCCTCCTCCTTCATTTCTCTCTTCATATCCTTCAGGCAGGCAGGTTGTGCTGGACAAGCAGCTTCAAAGTCGGTGCCAGGTTGCTAGAGCCCGAACCTCAAACCACCGGTCAAAGCCCTGTAAGATCCTGACCTACTTGTCCACTATCCCGAAGAACGAAAGGTTAACCTTCGGGAGTAGATAGGGACTCCCACAAAGGTTAAAAGTTACCTACTCTACCTTTCTGAAGTGGACAAGTTGAACCCGCACTACGGGGCCACACACTAGCAAGCGGCCTACAACCCTTCACAGTGACATCAACACTACAAGTACAACCGTTCTTTGATTGCCGTCAGAGAGCGACTCGAAGGCTATACTGACTACGCTGTTTGGTATCCCATTGTAATGCACAGCATGTAAACTGCAAACCCAAACCCCTGACCCTAAAATTTTTTTGAATGAAGGACACGGACTGTGGTACTCGCAGCCTGATATTACAAGTCCTTAACCTCTAGATTCCCGAATTACCACAACATCAAACCTTGAAACCTTATGATGCGCAGGACTTATAGGGCGAAGAGTTTAAGTTGCTGCGGGCCTTCCGCAGCTGCGGTGGACGAGATTTGCGCTGCTTGGCAACCTTCACCGACAGAACGAACACCTCGGTGCAAGTTCACAAGACGGTACTCTCGGGGCACCTTTACGGTGGCAAGAAAGGGATCTTCTTTTCAGAGCATGACGCACTGTCACTATGATATAAGAGACAACAAACACAAATGTTCTTAGGAAGCCAATTAGCCCACTCCTCGGGGTTGAGGGTTGCGGGGCTAGGGTGTCGGGGTTAGGGCTGGCTGTAGTTCGGATTCGTGGGGCGAGGGTGTAGTTGCGTTCCCTGATCTTCTGAAAAGCTCCTGAGGATTAGAAATTAAGACCTTAGGGCCTGGGTCTTGAACCCGGAGAGCAAAGCTTTACCCTTGCTTCAGTGATACTCAACTTTCCCTTCTTTGGCAACACTGAGCTACGAAAATAGATCAAGTATCGTAAACAGGGTGTGTAGGTAGAGGCCAGAACCATCAACATACCCTAAGAGTGCCAGGACGTCTGATGTCGACGCTGCAAAGGGAACGACACTTGAATGCTGCACTATACTAATTTAATTGCTTGTGTAATGATTGTACAGCGGAAAAACATACCGGACGGAGAATCAGGCGATGTCGCGGCCATGGTTGTCAGAACGTCAAGAAACCCGGCGGACTTCACTCATGCTGTCAAGGTCTCTGACCCCAACGCGTCCATGCTACATGACATCCCCTTAACCCCTAAACCCTCATGACTGCCACTTCGGGCACGTTTAGGCTCTAGAGTTGGAGAGACTCCAACTTTTCAACTTCGAGGGCCTTGACGGCCGCCGGCCCATTGAAACTGCTATGAAAGCCACCACCCCAAAGGCCCACGTAGTTGCGTTGCTTCCACTGACTAGAGACTGTGCGTTTTGGTGTGTTAAGTCGGATGCAACATCATGAGCACTTGAACCCGTAGAGTGACACATGTTCAGGAAAGTCGCATCCGAGGAAGCCATTGCGCGGTCTCTTGCAACAGTGGAGTCTTGAGCCGCTCCACATCGGATTCAGGGTTGGGTCTGCGGCTTGGGGTTTTGGGTGTGGGGTCTGGAGCATGGTCGGATTCTCGGCTTCAGGGTTGGGACTTGCCGTACCACGCCGCATCTGAATATGAGATGAAGAGGGTGCGCAGCGCACTATATCGGGTCCAACAGGCGTCTGGTCCCCTGGGAAATTTTATAGAGATTCGGGGCTGCAGGGCCTACAACGACAAGGGGTGTACAGGACTTATAACAGGATTTACTCCCTTGTTCAATCACCGGGCCCGCAAAAGTCCAATCCTTTCTAAGATAGACCAAGCACATAAGGCCAACAAGTGTAAGGTTGTTCCATCATTAGCTGAGTAAGGTTAGCATCTGTAACAATACCTACCAAGGTCCACCCCAACCCCATCGATCCTCCAAGCTCATAACGCTTGCAAGCTCTGAGCCAAAATCCCGGAACCTCGAAACTTAACCTTAAACCTTCAGGGTTTAGGGTTTAAGGTCTTGAAGTCCACCTCAACCCCAAACAAACCTACCGTTTCAGGTTTCTTTATTATCAGTTCCTTATGTAAAGTCCTCGAAACAGGCAGGCTTCTGCAGGGCGCACCAACTGTGAGGCTCACAACTGGAAGGGACTGAGACCACCCCCGGCCCTCTTCTTAGGGTTTAGGGTTTATATAGGTGATGAGGAGATGGTCCTTGTACGCTCTTTCTTTTAAGGGTTTCAACTTCTAAGGCTTCGGGCTTCACAGCGTAAACCGGTCGACAGTCTCGGTCATGTTTCGGGGATCTTGATTGCCTGGTGCAGCTTTTTTGGGGATCTAGCACTTTTTCTCAGGTTTCGCTTAGCGCAGGAAAGGGGTCTGTTCTGCAGTACTATCCGAGAGGCATCTAGCAGGGTCTTGTATGCTGGTTTAAAGGCCCAACCCCAAGGCTAGTGCAAACCTCAAAACCCAAAACCCACACCTGTGACCCAACCCTAATTAACCCTAAGGTTAAAGCCGGCCCCATCCAGGCTTGCTCGGTAAGTAAAGATCCTTGTCCGGCCCAGACCGTGTCAGAGAACAAATGCTTGTCGGATGGCACGGAGAAATAATACACGGGCCTGAGTGACTAGACTAGTATTCCTTGAGGCATGGCACCAAGCCCTATTCGTTTGCTAAGGCTCCAAAAGGCTCTAGTATCAAGTTTTAAAGCGTATGCGCATCAAGCCAATTGCTCCGGACTGCAGACTCAACCAAACCTGTGTTGGGGGGTTGCTCGTGGTTTGTATGTGTAACTTACAGGCAGTTGCAAATTATAGAATGACACAGAAACGAGGTAATCGGTAGACAACTACAGATAGACAGACAAATAGATGGATAGATACATACATACATAGACAGAACGACAAATAGACAGATAGACGGAAAGACAGATAGACGGATAGATAGAAAGGGAACATAGACAAGAGACAGATCGATACGTCTCGGGAAATTCTTGTAGGACAATGCTGGCTGTTTTTCGACGTAGGAGAGCACGCAGGAGATAAAGCATGTGCCCGCATATCTACGACTTCGAAGTACAGAAAAAGGCCTTCGAATGCAGTGCACGAGGCGTGATGAGATCCAGGCGCGCATGATTTGTATGCGGTGCACGTGGGACTGAATTGCACACATGCGCAGAGCGAGTAACTGGCCCGCCATGGAAAACTCGTAAACGGGTGATGCCTTACATGCATATACCATTTATGACAACATCAGTCTTTGGACATGAAGCTCGCCCTGAATATGCGTCCACAACGAGAGCATTCACCGAAACAGAACTTGTTTAAGTTCCTGCACATGCTTCTCAGCGCTTCCGGGACTGTGCAGCCTGCTCTCTCTCCTTCTCTTGCTGCTTGCGCCAGGCTACCGCCTGCTTCCAGGCCTTCTCCACCTCCTTCGCCGAGAAGTCCTTCGGGCGGAACCTCATGGTATACCTCTTGCTTCCTGAGACGATGCGCTGCGCACGCCAGGCCTGCTCGCCAGGAACCCACCTGATTCCTTTCTCTGGCCCCAGCGGCTCGAAGTGAGGGATCTCCGAGAGCGGCTTCACCGGCACCAACTCCTCCTGCTTTCCCAACTCCTTGGCCAGCTCCCGAGCCCTGGCCTCGGCCTCCTCCTTCAGCTTGAATGTGCCACCGAAAACTTTCTTGCCGGTGGAGGGGTCTGTTATCTGCACCTGATAAACTCCAGAGCATTTCTTGTAAAGAATTCCCCTCACGGTGGAGCCGGAGGCCTTCTCCGTCACGGGCTTCGGCGGCTTGAGCTTCCCCTGGCGCACGAGCTCCTCGCGGAAAGCCTTGGCCTCCTGGAATGCCGCCGCCTCGGCCTCGGCCTCGCTGAAGCCCAGCTTCATGTGTTTGGAGATGGGGAAGATGCAAGACTTCCGTCTGTTGCCTTCCCACCATTGAGCGCGCCAGCATGCCACGTCTTTGCGCCAGACAATTCCCTGCATGCCGCTCTGGCGCTCCAGGCCTCCAAACCTCCTTGTGACGACCTGGGTTTCATCGGCTCTGGGCTCGGCTCGGCTGGGTGGCTCCGCAGGCTTCGGCTCGCCAGGTTCTGGGACGGAGCCCACGGACTCGAAGATCTCGAGGCCCTGCATGGCGGAGCTCCCTCCGGTCGGCGAGAGCTTCAGCATGCCGTCCTCCACAAGCATCCAGCCGTTGCCGGCCCATGCTCGCGTGGGAAGGTCCCGCATCCAAGGCCACATCTTCATGCACTCAGCTGCTCGGTGCTGATTGCCGGTTGAGCTCCGGTGGGCCTGCGGCCTGGATGCAACAGTGGTGTCTGTCTGTCGCTGGCTGCTTGCGCCACTGTTGTCATGGAACAGGACATGGTTTGGGTTCTCGTGGTAGAAGTCGCGCAACTCTCTGAACTGCTCTTTGCCGAGGAGCTGCACGCATGCTGTTGTCTGTTCTCTTACACATCCTTGCCACGGAGCTGCCGCCAATCCAAGAAAAGGGCTGGCCGGGCAGCAGGGCTTCGTGGGCAGCCACGTCTTGCCAGAGGATTGAAATGCTAGGCATTTCTCGGCCCACTCTGTCAATCGCGACTCGAAGGATGGAACGAAGACGTCCGGACTCTTCTGGCTCAATCGACGCCTCTTCGGCCCAGGCTGCTCAAAGTCCTCTTGCTTGACTTGTATCTGCTGCTCCTCATCCGCTTTCTCCTGCTTTACGCCAGTCCTTAACTGGAAGGCAACATCAACAGGGTTTAGGGTTTAGGGTTAAGAGCCCGAAACTCAAGGTTTAGGGTTTAGGGGCAAATTAGTATAGTCAGTAGAAAAAGCAGCACCGCGAGCGCGAGTTCTACAGCAGAAAAAAGCGCTGCAAATAACAACATACTTAATTATATAAGAGGCACAAAGAACCGACTCTAATCACTGACTGCGCCGCATGCTTCAGGCCCTTAACATGAGTCACAAGGCCGGAAGTCCCTAACATTGAAGAGAACTGGCTGAAACAGAGCTGTCTGGTTTCGGGCTTCCACTGGAGGAGTGCAGGTCTTGCCCAAATGCGCGGTTGGACCAGCCCCGGGCAGCCCTTTCATCCCTCGAAGATACAGCTGCAAGGCCGAAGCCCGAAACCGTAAACATCAAGATCTTACAGCACAGTTTCACCCATAGCCTTCGAGTCAGCCCATGGTCCTGTATCGTGCTCAAGAGACTCGCGGCATGTAAGGTTCCTGACCGCTGTCAAGCCTCGACTCCCTTTGCGACTTCGTGTCCTCCGTGAGGGGGGAGACAGGATAAAAATTGTCCATAAGAATGTTGCATTTGTCTGCAGAGCTGACTGATTGATATGCTTCTGCAGACTCCTGCAGACCTAGACACCGCTTTGACGCCATGAAAGCGACAAGATGCACGAAGCCCGCTGACTTGTAAACACCGAACAACACAAGGTGGATAGAAGTTCAACATCCTGTAACTGTCACCTGCAGGCTTCTTCCTCAGCTCCTGGATGCGAACATCCAGGCCCCAAGCCAAGCGCAGCGCTGCCAAATCAGCATGAGGACTTAGAAAGGCTGCTGAGATAACATCACAAGAGGTTTTTATCGCATCAAAAAACAGGTATGAACAACTAGAACTTCAGTGAGTAAGACCGGACAACACCGATCAATATTCATGTCTTCCTACTTCGGGTGTTCCAGGCATCAGATACATGTGGCATAGAGACGACAGCATCAGCGGAAGTACCACTAGTGCCCGTGTGACTATTCACAACGATTGACGACATCTGTCGTTAACGATATGCAGCAGTGGCATCGGCAACCGCAGGAGCTGCAAGCAGGAAGCAATTCAAAATCCAACAAACCAACTACGTCTGAGGGTACCCGTAGCCGAAACTCAAAATGCTGACCCCGCCTTCAACTTAAACATTGTAGGCGTGTTCACAACAGGAGTCCTCCCGCTTGACTTCACGCTTGATCTCAGCCTTGACCTTCCAAGTAAGATGGCACTTGGAAATGACAACTGCATATGTAGCCGCTCATCTTCTCTCTCCAATGCCGGTAGGCGTACACTGCACGTCAAGACACCCTGCCACCCCAAAGCGTGCTCTGAGGTGCCCCAGACAGCACGAGCAGACGCATTCATGTTTACTCCGCTACTGCATTGCCTTGGGTGGGCGACAGTGCTCTCAAAGCCTGACGACCTCGATAGCCTGGACAAGGCTATCCCCCAAAAAGGAGGTACGACTCTTCGCGGCACAAACTACTGTGCCGTACCAGTTACGCACTGAACATCCACGCACTCTGCACTCCGTACCCGTCCTGCAGATTCGGCTCTCTCACCACATACACATAAGTACATGCATGTATGCGTGCACATGTAGCCATCGCGTCTAGCATGCAGGGATCTAGGTCTACTTAGGGGTCCGGCATGGCCCCTGTATTTTGGTATTTACAACTCTGCACATTGGATTTACAGCATCTTTCCAGGTGGCCTTCGTGCGCATTCTTCGACCAGAGCTGACGACCTCCATGACAGGATGGGCTTTGGGGTTGGGGTTTAATTTAGGGTATAAAGATGTTTAAAGAGGAGTTGGCCCTGAGACCTTGGGAAGTCAAGCCAGACAAACCCTCCATTGACAATCACCCTTGAACCGAATCCTCTAATGGACCTGACCGTCTGTGTAAAGATGCCTCTTTAAGCCTTCCAAACTGAAAGCACTTTGTGCGCTAAGTCCCCAAGTCTACGGACCAAAGGGGCAACAACCTGGAACGTTTTTAGCATGCATAATTGTATTGTTTCAGGGTAGACGCGTTCCAAGGCCATGCAACCATACCCCCGAAGCCCGAACTGAAAAAGGATGCAGAGGTGGACTGTTCAGGAACATCGAGGCCTGCAGATGAGCTAGCCGCCCCAACCGGGTTTAGGGTTTCACGTTTAAGGGTCTAGAGTACAGCATTACTATATGTTCCTTGCTTTTCGTGTGTAAATAGTAGCTAATGTAGTAATATGCTTCTTGTTGCGAGCTGTAAATATGTCTGAAACACTTGTCGATGGGGGTGCGCTGGGTATGTTATTGTGTTCATCCCCGCAATACCTCCAATCTTCATGGTTAAAGCAAGCTTGTTAGTTTGAACATGTTCTCATCCCCCAGGGATATTTCATTGCTACAAGCTCATTCCCCCGTGTCTTCCGTCGCCTCGTGGATCTCTTCCTTCACCTCCATATCTGCATCTTTCGAAACCTCCTCCTTCACCCGCTTCATATCCTTCAAGCGCACTGAGCCGACATCTGCAGGTCTAAGCTGGTTGTGCAGGTGCACACCGGCCAAGTGTCTACTGCTGGTACTAGCCAAACCCGGATGTGACTCAGACTCTGCAGGGTCTCGAACTCTTATGGACGTCGCAGACCCGTTCGGAACTGAAACAACTGGGTTGCACCCTTTCACTAAACAGCAGTAGCAGCTTGACACCTGAGTATCATGACCTGAACCCTACAAGTCCTCAGTCCCAAAACCCTGAAGCCTAAGCCCTGGTCCTCACTCCTTCATTAATCCTTTACCTGAAGCCTACTGGGTCGCAAGCCTCAGCCCGAAAGCTCTGCCAAAGTAAACCCTATCAGGATTTCAGGCTTGGGGCGGAGGAAACCTGGATCTTGAATTCAATCACAGGACAGATAAAACACTAAGAGCCCGGTGATTGTCTAACAATTATTCAAAGGTATTGTGAAATGAAACACTAGCATCATGGTCTGACAACAACATCTGTCTAAAAATGGTACTCCCTTCAACCCGAAACGGCCTGATTCACAACGGAAGGAGAAGCACAAAGAATCCCATCAGCCTTCCGTGTCGTCTCCTCCTTGACTTCCACCTTGGTATCCCTGGACGACTCGTGCTTGATCTCCGTCTTCACTTTCTTCTGAGCAACCTTCGAAGCCTCCTCCTTCACTTCTCTCTTCACATCCTTCAGGCACGCTGTGCTAGTCAAACGGCTTCAACGTGGGTGCCGGGTTGCTAAGCCCGAGCCTCAAACCACCGGTCAAAGCCTTGTAAGTTTCTGAAGCCCTCGCAGCCTGGAACCCTGAACCCGCACTTGTCTTGCAAGTTCCTGACCTACTTGCCCAGTATCCTGAAGATCCGAAGGCTAACTTTTGGGAGTATATTGGGATTCCCACAAAGGCTAAAGGTTACCTACTCTGCTACTTTCTGAAGCCCTCAGCCTGAAAAAATTGAACCCGCACTGCGGGACCACACACTAGCAAGCGGCCTGCAACCCTTCACACTGACATGCATTCTACAAATGCAACCGTTCTTTGATTGCCGTCAGAGAGCGAGTCGAAGCGATAATTACCAACTTAACTACGCTGTTTGGTATCCCATGGCAGAAAAGCAGACTTGAAACTATGGGCCCTGCACCCTCGCCCCTGTAAACCCCAATCGAAAGACCTTGTACGAGCCCTTCAAAGCGGGGAGCCACAGCCAACAAAGACAGAGACGACTGAAACAAAAGCCCTGTCCTGCCAACCCTAAACTCTGCATGGTACATCACCAACCCCAAGCGCTAAACCCTAAACCCAGAACCCCAAACCCTGAACCCTAAAATTGCTTGTGAAAGAAGGACACGGACCCCAAATTACAAGTCCTCAACGTCTTGTTTCACGAAATACCACAGCATCCTATCTGGAAACCTTATGATGTGTAGGACTCAGGGCGATGGGTTTAAGGTGCTTGGGGCCTTCCGCAGCTGCGGTCGACGAGATTTGCGCTGCTTGGCAACCTTCACCGACAGAACGAGCACCTCGGCGCAAGTTCACAGTAAGACGGTACTCTCGGGGGGCGCCTTCACAGTGGCAAGAAAGGGATCGACACACTATGAAAAAAAACTATATAACACAAATGTTCCTAGCAAGCCAACTAACACACTCGGAAAACTATGAACCCTGACACTGCCAGCTGCAAATTTGCAGGTCGAGGGTTGAGAGGCTAGGGTGTACGGGGGTAGGGGTTAGGGCTGGATGTGGTTCGGATTCGTGGGGCGAGGGTGTAGTTGTTGCTGATTCTGTGCTGCGATGTGCGTTCCTTGCTCTTCGGAAAACTCCTGAGGATAAGAAATTAAGATCTAGCGTATTGCGCATTCTACGTCTTCAGCCCTGGGGGTATAATCCGTTACTCTTGCTTCAGCGGTACTCAACATTCCATCTGTTTTGGCAACACTGAGCTACGAAAGTAGATCAAGTATTGTAAACAGGGTGTGCAGGTAGAGGCCAGAACCATCAACATGCCCGAAGAATGCAAGGACATCTGGTGTCAACGACGCTGTAAAGCGAACGAAAATAGCATGCTGCACTGTACTAACTGCTTGCTTCGTGATTCGACTATGCAAAACATGCCGGACAGAAAATCCGGCGATGTCCGGCCACGGTTGTTGGAACGTCTAGACACCCGACGGACCGTACTCATGCTGTCAAGGCCTCTGACCCCAACTCGCCCGTCCATGCTACCCTAAACCCTGAATCCTCAACCCGAAACCCTAACGGCGATGATTGGCGCTACGGGTACGTTCAGGCTTTAGAGTTGGGTAAATTCCAACTTCCAGGGCCTTGACAGCCGCCGGACCCCTGAAACTGCTAGGAAAGCAGCGACCCAAGAGGTCCACGTAGTTGTGTTGCTTTCATCGACTATTGGACCATGGGTTTTGGTGCTTAAACCGGATACAACGTCCTGATTTTTTAATGACTACTTGAACACGTAGTTTCACACATGTTCAGGAAAGTCACATCTGCGGAGGCCATTGCACGGTCTCTTGCAACAGTGGAATCTTGAGCCGCTCCACGTGGGATTCAGGGTTGGGTCTGCAGCTTGGGGTTTTGGGTGCGGGGTCTGGAGCATGGCTGGATTTTCGGCTTCAGGGTTGGGACTTGGCGTACCAAGCCGCATCTGAATGTGAGATGAAGAAGGTGCGCAGCGCACTATATCGGGTCCAACATGCAGGCGTCTAGGTCTAAGGTCTCCGCCCTTACATAGTTTCGGAGCCTACAACGACAAGGAGTGTACAGGACTTAGCAGAGGATTTACTCCCTTGTTCAATCACTGGGCCCGCAAAAGTTCAATCTTTCTAAGATAGACCAAGCATAGAAAGCCAACAAGTGTAAGGCTCTCCCCATTGGCTGAGTAAGTTTAGCATCTGTAACAATACCTACCAAGGTCC